TATAACCAGAAACACTTGATGATCTCGGACAAAATTATTTAAACAAAACAGTGCAGATTATTTTCCTTTTTTTTCCGGGATTTCTTTTCGGAATTTTTTAGTTATTACCGTAGAGAAAACGTTTGTAACTTTAAGTACGAGGGGTGGGCGCGGTGTCAGTGACCATTAGACAATCCTCTCCTCTTTCCTTATTACACTTCCCATCCTTCCCATTGTTTTTTTATATAATTTAGACATGATAAATTTCTTATTTTGTTTTTTTAAACAAAACAACGTTTCAGGCTCTTTATAGGTCCCATGGCTACGGCTGACTTTGTGTAATTTGTTAACTCATGTTCGTTCCGCTGCCGGGTACAGACCTCCCGGGAAAAGATATTAACGTTTCACATTTTCTCTTGCAGGTTTCTTTGAAAGATTGTCTTTTATACCAAACTGAATGAATACGATTTGACTTGCATTGGAATGACGTCACGCGGTGATGTTCCAGAATCCACAACTCGGCGTTCAAGTCGATGACGGAGGCCGTGCGCGAGAGCGAGATCAAGAACCGCGACCCCTCCGCCTTGCTCTCGCAGCCCCGGCACTCGTGAGTAGCTCCACACTCACCCACGCCCCCGGTTGTTATTTGCAAGGGGCCAATCGGCACTCGAGGGCGAATCCTCGGCGGCACTGGCGCTGATTAAATCATTTATCATTATATTTCACAATTCTATTTTAACGCATGAAGACCAATGTTTCATTCCTGGCAACCGAGATGTCATGTAAAACTATAAGAACGCTGTTAACTAAAATCACCTCCAATAATGTGGCTATTTAGTGTGCCACTTTACCCCATTCAACCTCGAATTCCGATTGACCTGTGCGAGGACACATGACACGTATTCAGAGAGCGGCAAAAATTCTTAAGTATACAGAAGTAAATAGCGAGAGCCCAATTGTAGCCTTCCCATTACCGCGTCACTGTTTCGCACTAACTCGTGTTCCGTGCAGTCGAGGAATTTGCCGCGATCTGTACTTACAATATTTCTATATAGACATGCCAGTATACAGTGTTTTTTTTTTAATGGTACAGTATGGGGAAATCCGAAACCATAGAAGATACAAAGAAATTGTCTTAGGAACTATTGAGTGTTTTTTTTTTTTTAATTAAAACTGTCCATAAAAATGAATAAAATTGATAAAAAATTTTGATCAACTCCGTTTTACGTAAGGATCATACATTATACGGGACGAAAAAAATCGGGACAGCAGAAGTTGGTCAAATTTCATAAAATGTTTTTCATACAGAATCAATAAAATCGGCCATTTTTTTGAATACTGATAGACTCAGTTTCTTATAAGAATGATTTTATTGTATTGAAAGAAAAGAATCGGGACGGCAGAAGTTGGTCAAACATATTATTCATTTTGTATGATTTTTTTTATTACATTTGACCAACTTCTGGTGTCCAAATTTTTTTCTTCGGATACAGTGAAGTCATCCTTATAAGAGCCTGATTGTTTTTTTTTTGTATTTAAGAAAAATTGTAAATTTTATTAATTTTGTATAAAAAATTATTTTATGAAATGTGATCAACTTCTGCTGTCCCGATTTTTTCGTACCATACAATGAAATGATGCCTTCAAACTGAGTTGATCAGCACTTAAAAAATTTTGATCAATTTTATTCACGTTTGACCAAAAAATTGATCATGCCAAAAATTATTTTCCTAACACAGTTTCCCTGTTATCTTCTAGGTTACGGATTTCCTCATACTGTCCCATTAAAAAACACACTGAATAATAATGATCCATATAACCAAATCATAGATATTGCCTATCAACATTTAGACTCGTAACGTTCATGCAATTTAGTCAAAATTACAAAATCAACATGTTACGAGAGAACATTGAACTAATTATATCTAACCAAATTCGTAAGTGTTTAGTTTTACTGTTAAGGCAGATTCTCATAATGATTTCTAGATTCCACTGAGGTTAGTGTTGTCATTGCATAGAACTTGGGCGTTGGAGAACAAACTTGATTCATTTAAAGAATTCATTATCAAAATCAGCCTTACTGTACGGATAGATAAAGATTAAAATTAGTGTACCGGTGTTGCTACCTCAAGTCTTCCACTACTTTTTAAAAATACGACTTTAATACGATTTTTAGTAAAAAAGTTTGATTATAACTGAACGTCAATGTCGTGGAACGCGTGATTTATCTATCTTAGATAGATATACTAACTGTTTATTTATGTAAATATGTGTATATGTACTCAGTTCTATTTTATGGATATCACACGTATATTAGTTACTGATAGCATTTATGAAGCACTCATACTGAATCGAGCATGGTTTAAGACTGGTTTTCCAAAATTTGCACATAACTCGTCGCAGATGTCGATTCCACTGTCTCTCACTAAAACTTATCACACAGAATCAAAAATGATTTCTTTCGAAATGCATTTTCGATTGTGTCAAGAAAGGTGCACTCTCTACACAGCACTGTGGAGTGTAACAGATACCACTCACACACAGATTTTCAGATGACAGACTCTCTGCTAGCCCTCTGTTGGTCGTGTATGAAATTAGAGGCCCTCGTTATGTTTTAGCGCAATGGAGAGTCGAATCGGCATCTTCGTGAACTACTAATAATCAAAACTTTAAAGGCATATGGCTGCATGGATGCTATCTAACGTATAATTTGATGTTATAGTTTGTTTTAAACATCGTAATCAACCGCCGCAGCGCGTGAGCGGTTATGTAGTCGATATCATTACAACTATGATTATAATGTTTAAATCTCTTATTCCATAAGTGTGTGGTGTACGTTTCGCTGCTTGCCCGCCTTATTGTGTAATTAATAGAATCGATATTGCTGCGTTGTTTCGCCCCGCTTTCCTCTTCATTAGAGTGCAGTTAGTGCAGATACGTCTTAAGTAATGGCCAAAGGTATTTTCACCGGCCAATTACACAGTAAGGTATTTCCTAATATACAAATTTAAATTTGGGCAGGCAGCCTTTCGTCGTGAGTGTGTAGCGCACGCAGTAATTAGTTATGGTTTTCCTTTTCTTTTATTTCGCTTCGCATCACCCCTCCCCGCACTCGGTGACGCCCTTACGCTCAGATACCACTTCTTGTCGTATCCGACGTCGCTAGATGGACGATCGCAGCTCCCGCGGCTCCTTTGAGGCTCCCACCAACCGGTTCGCATTCGATAATCGTGTCCGAAGCAAAGCGTCGACCGGCACGAGCGGCGACGGAGTAGTATCTGAGCGGGAACGGGGCGGCGGGTCCCGCACGGCCGCTGACGTTGTTGTTGGTGCGGTGTAGCGCGCGCAGCGAGCGGCGCGGCGAGCCGCTCGGCCTCAAGTGGCGGCGGCACGCCGTGGCGCCGTCGGAGGCGCGGCCCGCCGGCGCCGCGCGCCCCCGCCTAATTTGACGCTCGGCCGCAGCCGGGCCGCCTCGACGGGCCTCGCCGCGGCTGGCCGGAACCGGTCGCGACGCGTGAAGCCACCCGAGCAATTGCTACTGGCTAATTAGTGGAAATCGAATATGCTTAAGGATGAAGATCTCGAATTATTTTATACTCTTTGCGACGGCGGTTCGAATAGGTGTCGCTTTCCGTCGCTGGATATTATTTTTATCGAGTCGACGTTCACGATTGTATATAAACTGTTGTGTGCAGTAGACGTGTTAAAGATGCGCCCCTTTAGGGGAAGCGACGAGTGAGAGAAAAAACGTTTTGATGCGAAGCACTCGACGTAGTCCTTCCGTAGTTTAGCTAAGTTACTCCTCGGTATTTGATACCGGCAACGGTAGGTCTTCTGCTAGTTTTCCGCTCGCAACGACTTATGATATTTTTATAGATATTTACACGTACTTGTTAATTTGTTGATAAGTTATTTACGAAACGACGACCGCCATCGAATGAAACCGTTGACAACGAATGTTCTTGTTACAAGTTGGAGTTCCGTCGGGAACTCGCCGAGAGCGAGTTTACTCGAGCTTACTCGAGCCAAATGGTAAATAGGTGGAATGGATGTAATCCATATTATTTTATTGGTATAGCCAGCTAATGTAAACGCTAGTGAAGGTTTATGAGTAAGACTAGTTGGAAGCGATTGAGAGCTAACTCGTTCAAATGTTGCCAGCGGATCACACATTTAAAAAAAAGGTTAGTGAGGTTACTTAAGGTTCAGGTTAGCACAATTGGACACAGACTTAGTATCTAGCAAAACAGTGTTAAGAGTGGATACTACCTCCGCTCGAATTCTATTTTCCTCGTACTATTTGGTTCCTTTTTCTTGGGTCGAGCGGAAAGACGCTGGCTTTATTTCAAAACTTTTTTATTTTACAAGTGAAGTTAAAGCCATTTGAAGAATGCATATCGTATACTATTCGTGTTCTATTTACTTCAGTTGATATAAAAAATCATTGGTACATGTAAAGTACCAACCTATTAAAAACATTTTGATTTGGTTTTCTTGTACAATTTCGAGGTAAGTTTGTGTTTTTTGTATCGTGAAAATTTCGAGGAATCGTGTTTTCACACCGTACAAGTAACCAGTGTACAGCCTCAATTTTACTATATATTTATTCCAAAGTGATTTATTTAAAACTTTCGCTGTTATGCAGAATCAACCAAGGCCATTTGGGGTAGTATGAACTCTTAAGACAGCGGCATTATCTTCCTGAACTTCCTGTAACCACTCTGGCCATCGTGAAGGACATGCCAGTCGCGGTCAACTGATAATGGCCGGAAAAAGCTTGAATCATTTATTGGTATACTTTTGCTCTCGACTCGGTGTCTAAGTTCGTCCTTTCTATCTACAAGGTCCTCATCACATTGTACAATGAATTTGATCGAATCTTCCTACGCTTGTATACGTCCCACAAAAGCATTTAATAGTCGCAATTGTCCCAATATAATAAAATCGTGTTGCCTTAGATGTAAAGCTACCAATGTACAAACCCAAATTTCCTATTGTACTGCATTCCATTGTTGGTTATTGTGTATATAGTTTGTGCCGTTTGTTATTTTATGTAAATACAAACTGATAATTATTCCCATAAAAATCATCACGATCTGGCCGCTTCAGCAAGTCCGTGCTTTAGTCGGGGGGATGTGTCACTCAGCCGTGAGCTTTGTTGGCGATAATTGCTTGTCATTTGTGTCGATCCACCGTCGAAGATTAGCAATTGTTAGTTTCTGCACTAAATGAATACGTGTCAAGAATATACTGCAAAACCTTATTTAACTGAAATGTGACCATAAAATAGCGCTTCCCGCGGATTGCCGCATTTGTTTGTCCTCTACCACGCAATAGCAAGTTTACCGCCGATCGAGTTCAAAGCAGAGGGACAGTGGAACGGAAACATTGCACCCGATCTACACCCCGCAGCACCTAAGGCGCGATGCCTGAAACGGTCACTAAATATTTAGAATAAACGATTTACAGGCCTACCGCTTAACTTTGTCGGTTCCTAAGGTAACTGCGCGGTGCGGGAGGAGTGACAGTTTAAGCAACAGTTATGTCGCACTGCACATGGGTTTATTTCAACTAGGTTCTTCTGACGATATTCAATAACAAGTTGATTGAAACAAGGGCCTACCAAATTAGTCAGTTGTTGTTATGTCAAACGAAAATAAAAAAAAACTATTTAATTAATAGTTGAGATGAATGGACAAGTCATTTGGCAGTTCTTTCAATAAATTTGTTATTGAATATCGTCAGAAACATCTTGTTGAAATTATCCCGTGTACAGCGCGACATAACTGTCACTCCTCTCGCACCCCGCAGCTACCTCAGGAACTGACTCAGTGAAGCGGTAGGCCTATAAGTGGTTACATCATTTACATCAAAAAGATATTTTTATATGTAAATTCGCAAGGCTGATTGTGATGCCTCAGTAGCATTCCTTGTCACGCCACAATATTAAGAAAGAGTTATTAAATAACAAATTAAAATGAAAAATATACTGTTTTTTTAAAGGATAGTGATGTTTTTTGGTCAGTGACTTTAGAACAATCATTGTTCGTTTACGAGTATATTAATGGAATTTGTCACTGCATTTACTTAATCAGTATCTCTCTGTATTAACCCATAACATTCCAGAATACAGTAGGTACTAAAAAATCTTTGAAAAAAGTAGATTCTCTATGATAATGTATATGGTAGATCAATTTTTGTATACAACATTCATGTTAATGGACTGCATCATTCCGTCTGAAGCTAAAAAAGAGTGAAACACTGTGATTCGATAGATTTTGTATAAATTACACCGTATTCCTCAAATATAGGACGCTAGACGACCCAATTGTAGTTAATTATATTCTGATATGAAATAGTAAAGTTTGAGAAAATATGAATCGGGTATTTAAATATATCCTTGTTGTATTTAAGGGTTTGATTGAATGTCAGGAAAATTTGACAACGGGTTTAATTTCAAATATTAAAAATTCCACTTAGTTTCATGCCGCTGTTTAGCAGCGGTCTTTATTTGGTGAGCCCGCGCGAAAGATCTATGTCGATCCAGCCAAAAAGGCTTAAGAGTTTCACGCCAGCACTGTCGGATGTTTCCTTAGCATTTAATAAAAATCCTCTTTATTTAAAATACTCTACGCCAAACGTTCGATCGTTTTTTTTATTTCCACAACTATATCTCCTGCGTAATATATAATGTACATAGATAGTACACAAATATACAAGTAACGACGACATTTTTTATTGTGCGGTTTTAATGAAGCACTTTTTAACATTTTGTCGATAACTATAAAATACTTTGCATTTTTTTTTCAATGCTAGTTGTAATAATGAAAAGGTATTGGTTATTCTGGATCCCTTTGTGACCGTGTAAGGAATAAATGGTATTATAATGTGGAGGAAATTAATAATAGTAATACTCTGAAAAAGCTATCAAACGTTTGCTCAAGTAATCTAGCTGTAGTTAAACCATGAAACAGTTAAATATCGGTCGATCTTCCCACACATGTAATGTACATTACACCATGTATATTAATATAATGCACAAAAAGATTTACACGTAATAGAACCCGGCTCGCCTGTTGTTTACGTCATCTTCCTACTTCTTCATGTGTTTGTTTTTTACATATAACATTTTTCCTTACGATACTTTACATAATTATAGAATCGTGGTTGGGCACCTGTACTTTTTGTGTATGTAACGTATTCAAATGATGGAGAAGTCCGCATAATACGGGTTAATTAACATCAAACAAACTGTAAATTTCAGAGAATTCCAATACCGTATGACAGTTAACGGTCCCCTTGTTTTGGGCGTGCCTTCCAATATCCGACGCTTTTGTAAATTTTCCAGCCCGTACAAGTATGGCGAAAGCAGTCCTATATACATATATTTGTATATTTTAATTTCATCCCTCATTATCACCCGTGACCTGTACAAAGTAAAACAATCGTGTACTTTCACTCTCACTATACAAAGTCCACTCTTCCCTTGTTCGAGCTCCACATACCGAGCGCGACCGCGACGGAGCGGGCGCGATTGACAAATTTGCAAATGTTTCTAAACGCGCCGCGACGTGTTCGGCGGGCGGAGATCGCTGCTCATGTGACATACATCAATTGTAAGATACATAACCCGTATTGTAGTACACTGTGTGCATCGGCAGACTTCTGTACATAGTAGTTCTTTTTGGGTACCAGCAACTCTGAAAGTTTAGTAGTGATTTTATAGTAATATATATTTATGAATTTTTAGACAAAAAAAATTAGACACTTTTGCCCACACTTTATTAAAAGAAAAGTGTTGTACTCCCTATTAAAAAAGTGTGCTCAACACCAACGCCTGCAACAAACAGTTCCCAAATGCGTTATTATTGCGTGAAACACATAGAGAACGGGTGCGGGTCGGGATCACAGCGGGTGCAATTCCGTGTATTTATATGGACGACAACACACCACGAGCGGGCGGTGGACCCGACGACGTGCACCCATCCCGCATATATAAATACACGGAATTACACCCGCCGTGACGCGCGCCCGACCGGCGCCGGTGTCAATGTGTTTCACGCTTAAGTGCACGTCGGCTGAGATGTTTCACAATTGTTAGAATACAATCATAGGCACCGACGATGATATCATCTGAAATAAACAAATGTAGGCATTTGATTGATTAAAAGTAACGATCTTAAGCCGTAATTAAAGTGACGTTTATTAATAACCGAAATGATGCGTAATCCGTAAGTAACCGTTTATGTTCCTCCAATACGGTTGTCTTAAGTAAGATCTTGTAACTCTGGCCGCTACTTGTTATGCTTGATGGCGGAACGGAATGATGAACACGAAGACGTTCGATATATAATTTATATACAAATCGTAGAGCAATGTGCATTGTGCGTAATTGAGGTACCGTTCTTTAACTGCAGAGCAAGTTGAAATTTTGAAATATTGCTCAATTCTCCTAAATTCTTAATATCGATCCTACACTTGAGATGTATCTATTATAATGGGCCTAAAATGATTTTGTTTTAGCCGTGATTTCTTTCTAATGTCCAATTGTGATTAGAAACTATGCCTTAACAGATTTGCTGGTATTTAGAAACCACCACGGCTATGTCCATTGTGCGTTAAGTGTAGACACAGAGTACTTACTACTCCTGTGTACTCAGGCCACATAGAGGCGGCCGCGAAAACGATCCGCGCGCGGGAATTTTTGTAATGTACGAGTTCATATGAACCGTGGCACACTGAATCACAATTTCTGTTGATGCTGAAGTCATATCATCAGGATCGGTAATATACCGCTATCGTTATGATGTCACCGGCACCGCCTGGCCCTCTTATAAATTAATTATAATTGTAAATGTGAGACCGTTCGCACTTTAACGCACGATGGAAACACTTCTCAAATGAAATATCCGTTGAGATGTTTTGTGCGGTGTCTAAACATGAATGGCATTTTTATTGCAGTTATCAACACAACGTATTCTAAAACTCTAAAAAATCTATTTATATAATTAAGGTAATTTGTACAGATAAATCGGAGTGTGCAATAAAGAATATTCATTCATTCATGGGAATTTGATCTGTATCTAGATTAATTTTAAGTGTAAATCAATGGCAATTTCTAAAAATGGTCTCATTTCTTTAATGCCTACAGATATATGAGAAAGGACTTTTCATTTAGATTAGTGATGCAAACTCGCACTTCGCTTTCTGTCGACAGTGCCTATTGTAATAATTATATAATGTAATGTAAATAGTAAGAAAGAGAGCCTTATTGCTATCGTTTGTAAACTACTTACTACTTTATGAATAAAATGTTGCCACTTTCAACAAAACTATTCTGTATTATTAGTTTTAAGTATTGCTAGGAGTAAGGGAAGTATCCTTTTAATTATTCAGCCTGTCTTAAATTTACTTGATGGCAGGGAATGAAATTTGGGAACTTTTCAGTTGCAATGTTAAGAGCGCCTGAATTCATTGCCATATGGTAAATATTGGTCAAATGTAATTTTGAGGTATCGAATACACCGCGACCACTTGGGATGTGCACAAATTTTTTTAGGTTAGTTTCACTTTTCAGATTTTGAAGACGATTGTGCAAAATCCCTAAACAAATTAAACGCCGTAACAACGCGGGAGCAATACTCCTTTAGACTTAGATAAAATCGAACATAAAGGATACTTTTCTTTGGACCCATATTTTACCTAAATTGATTATATTCGCCACGGGTCAGCTTCCCACTGGCACGGAGACGATTGCGGGGTCCTCGGTGGAGGGGAAGGAATGTTGTGGTGTGGCATGTACTAATGTTGGTGTTTGGTGCGGCTAGCGCGGGCGCGGCCGCGGCGCGGGCGGACGCGCGCCACGCCCTGGCGCGGCTGGCCACGTGTAAGTACCGCCGTTACTTCACTCGCTGCTCTCTTGTGCCTGACGCTTCGACGCCTGACTGCAACGCATGTCGCACGGTCTACGCTTCGCATGCCGCTTCCTTTCATCCATTTACATTTGCGGCCCGCTTGACGGACGGTTCGCTCGCTCCGAAAGGAACATCCCGGTTAACGTGTCGGAGACGACGGCGTCGTCAGGCGGGCTCGCTCTCGCTTCGTCCCGCTTCTCACTGAACAACGGGAGCACCGACCTCCTTCCTATTGACTATGACTAATATCATTGTTAGCGTCTAGTTAGGTTCGGGGGAGTCTGGGTAGAGACTCTCCCGAGCTAGTTCGACCCGGGAGCGGCCGAACTCGCACGCGAGGCCCGCTCCCTGGTCAGCGGTCGCTGTGTCGCAGCCTCACGGAGAGGGCGCGGCTGCTGCACAACGTGCGCAGTGTGTTCAGCCGCCGCTCCACCCGCGCGGACACGGAGCTGGAACTGTCGCGTGAGTACCGCACCGCACGCGTCCTAGACGCCTCACCACCTCACCACCTCGCCACCTCCACACGTCCACGTCGACCCACAACGCCTCGTAGCGCAAGATCAACCACACCGCGACCGGTCGGTCCGCACCGGTCCCGCGTCATCACGAGCTATTTATCGAATTTTGGACACGGTTTGTGTTTCGGCACAATAGTTTCAGCGTTATTTACAAGCTCGTTCACCACCAGTTCATACTTTTATTCTCGTTAGCAATCTTTATTTTAAAGTAACGAACGACCTCGGAGTCTTCGCTGCCGACGTTTACTTGTCTGCATGTAACGTTTCCCGCGTGTGTGAACAGACGGGTTCGCGTTTTCTCAAGAGGAGGGCGGCAGCGTATCGCAGGCGGAGGTGATCCGCGCGTACGACACGCGCGAGCCGAGGGAGCGGCACTCCTGAGCTGACGTCACGCGCCGCCGCCCGCGCCCCTCCGCCGCCTGCTGAGGGCCGGGCGCGCCCGCCGCCCCTCCGCCCCCGCCGCCCTCGCCGCCCACACGTACAAAGCACTCCGCGTCCAACTCCGGACGTGTCGCACGTTGCGAGCGTTTTCAGACTGCGGGTTCAGGCTTACGTATTAATATCTTAGAGAAGACATACTATGTACGTAACGATGAAGTGCAGAACCCGAGTTGAGCCAGCGCAAGTCGTCAAACCTGCATTTCTTAAAACGCTCCCGAAATGTCGTAATGCATTTACAACGACAATTACCGTTTCAGGTTTAAATGTCTGTAATAACGTTAATATACATATATGAATGCTTGAGTAGAAATATCCTCCGAGTGCACGCTACTCGGCGACACAGAGATTCGAACCAATGTTACGTAGATCTGTTATTGTTTTAACTTTTAAATCTGCTTTATAACTATGTGGCGGAGTACCGCTGTGCGAACAGAAAATACTATTTATTTATTAGAACTGAGAGCACGATTCTTCAGTATTGATCGAGATCTATTTATTGTACTCGTAGTTATGTATGACATTTCAAATAGGTAGATGTTCGGCACACTTAGTGTCACGTTTGTCGTCGCCTTTGGCGGCTCCATCGCCTGCATCGAGGGTACAAGAAGCAAGTACATTTTGTTGCAGTACAATGCGAGGGTTTACATAATCTCTAGTAAATACTGGATTTAGTTTATGGCGATTAACGTTTTATCCGACATCAAATATGTACAATGAAGAAACCTCGAAATATTAATATTTAATTTTATTCACAAAGCAAAGCGCTTTACACAGTCCCAGTTAGGATCCGGAAGGGCCTGTCATAAAGGGCAGTCGCTACACGATGGATTCTGTATATTTTGCTAAGTTCACTGCTATCCTTATTTTAATGTTTGATACAAAATGGTGTCCCGGTTGGTCTTCAATGTGGTATGCGAATGACGACGTCCAAACTTGCTGCGATGGAATTTCATTCTCTAGGAAATGGGCTAGTCAATGTGAAGTGATAGACCTTGGTAATTTACTTGAAATTTAAAAAGTGATTTTATACTTTTAGGTAAAGATATAGTTCAAATAACTAAATTCAATTAACAATATAACGAACACGTAAAAAAAAAGATTGGGCCTGTCACTCTTTACGAATGTAAATAATCCTTTGTCACCATTGACTTACAAATATATGGACGACGGGTCTAATACAAAAACTACGAAAAAAATGTCCCAAGTCAACCTATTTAAACGTAACGTATGTAAAGGAATATGAAAAAGCTAAAACGTTGAATTGAAATTGTAATGTCATCGCAGTACTGTCTAATTTTGCTTGCTTCGCTGTCAGTCGAACAAACGAAAACTAAAGCTTGAATGACGCTCTGTATACGATTTTAACGCCCTATAAGTTCGGACACTTTTTAGCGCGGACGCGACGTCCATATAATTGTAAGTCAATGTTTGTCACCTTCCAAATATCGTACCACGCTTTATTGTCAAAGAAAGACACAATATATCTTAGATTATGACCTATGTACGTTAAATTCATCTTATTCTGTCATTTTACTCCATTGTCCAGATGACTTTGTGCTTTGACCAACTCGGAATCCTTGTTAATAAATGTATGCGAGCTGAATTCAAAATTTACCCTTCAAACTTTGAGCACCTTAATCGAAATGACAGCCGGTGCTTACTCGCTCCAATCGGCCACTCCAGAGTCGACATAAAGATTTGTTAACCAATCTTGATGATATTCTGGACGTGGCTATTTTTGCTGTTGGTCATTCACGAACAAAGTGACTGTACATTTTGCTGTAGATATTTATTTTTAAAGACTAAGTTATTTTGATATATATGTATTGAGTGATATAAAAAGATTTATTAACATTACGTGTTAATTTGGCCTTAATTCATGTAGCGTTTCGTTTCAACATTACAGAAACAGGAGTATAGTAATAATTATCGCTCGTTAAATTATCGCTGAAGCTCTCTCAACAGCTCTATGCTTAGATGTGCTTCTCTACACTTACACGTATGATATGAAATATTATAATATTCTATTTACTATATTGTGTAGTAGAAATGATGCTGATGTACTATATTTACTTAATAATTGTGATAAATAACTGGTGGAGCTAAATTTTCAGAGTCTTTACAAAAGAGTGCTAGTGTTTTGGATATTTGTAGTTTTACGTTTACACGAGGACCTGCCGCGTTGCGAATTTTATTCTAGAAAAAAATACGTAACCTGAGTTACAGGATTGTCAAAAAGCTTTGTAAACACGCCAGACATTAAGCTACACATTGACGTATCTTGTTCCGTCGCACTGGAGGCGATTTTCGAACAGAACTAATAACGAATGAACACTTGAATTGGAAATTGTGTGAACCGTATATATTCGTAGAGTTACACTTATCGAGTTCTTAGGCTTTCATGAATTTTTTCCGTTCTAAATAGCGTTTATTTGTGTTTTCACTTATAAATAAATATATGTAAGTCGTGATCTAAAGTATTTTCAAAATCTTTGTTCGAAAATATACCCATACTGTCGAGCAAATAACGCTTTACAAAAAATATTCCTGTTGAAAACCTCAATCGACACTACACATATTAGGACCGGCCGAGTTCTAAAGTGAGAACTGCTCGAAGGAATAAAATGAGTAACGCGTCAGCCTCGTCTTCACTATACCTCTAACAGTGTATTATTGTTAACTGTTACTTGACTAAGATGATTTAATGGCGGCCGCGGCCGCGGGGCACACATCAACTTTATTTTAATTGCTTTATTTATTTATATATTCATTTAGAAAATGACCAACGTATACTTATGTATACATATTACACTTAGGCATATAACTTAACTGTTAAGTTTAAGTGCAAGATATAATTAAATATTTTTGAAAAAATAATGTTAAGTTCAGAGACAGAGGCAAAGACGGTATTCCCTGTCAATTGCAATGTTGTTTAAGAGTAAAAGTTGAGCGAGACAAAGACTAAGAACAAAGACAAAGACTACGGCAACAAATAACAAACACTCGGGACCAACGCGGCTGTAAAACGAATACTGCGTAACGTAGCCTTTTTCGGCGGCTGTCGATCAGTCTACCTAACTACTAACCAAGTCTAACCGACTAACCAAGATCAGTGAGTACATTTCTTGACATTTTAATTCTCGTGTCAGCGAGATGCCCCTCCACGCCCGCGCCCCTCCCCGCTCTGCGGCCGTCACTTTTTTTTAATGTAAGCAAAGATCTAAATGTAACAAACAGAAAATATATTATACGTTCTTGTTCTTTATTACTTGCGTTTCATTTATTTTTTCTACTCCTGCCCACTACATATAATTGTAATTTCATAAACCATACCATAAAGGCGCTGTTTTTGGTGTTCTGAATTAAATTTCTTTTGTCTATGGTACACAGAACTATAATATTAAATTCTAATATAATATAATGTTGCTTAGAATTTAATTATCTATCATATGACAAAAAAATTAGCTCGATATTCCACAAAATGTTCCTAAGTCAACGAATTATCAACACATTATATTACACTCGTTCAACTACTAATGACGTTAGAAAAGTGAACAATGCACAATTATTTTCACCATTGTGAATATTGCGGGTAGTTTTGAATATTTACTATCAAATGACAACTAAACGATGATTAAATAACTGATTAAGTCCTTCGCATTCCTTAATACCTACAAATGGAATTAACCCTTGTAATAGTGAATTCAACTAGTAATGAGTAATAATTGTTATAAAATATTGCTTGCAAAGATAATCCAGAAACCATTGTTGGCATATTCCATGCGCCTGCAAAATTGTTATTAGCAATTACATAGAGAAGAAACTGTCCTTTTAGATGAAAACTTTTGCAAAGACGTTTTATTATTTTGTAAAATAACTTATAGAAACTTAATAAAATAGAGAAAAGAAAGTACGTTTAAGTAGAAATTAGGTAGTAAATAGTTATATAAAAAAGTAAGTGATATACTGCTGAAACGTAGTGGTCAGCCAACCTGGGGGTCTACCACAACCTCTTAACCGTTACAGCATAGAATTATACGATCGTGCGTTCAACTTTGAAAAAATTTAGGTATAAAAGTATTCAAGTTTGCCGCGTCTGATCAACAGCGATCGTTAGTGCGTTCGATTAATATTCGCTGTTAAAGCAGTGCGCCCGTGTTCTAGGGTTGCACACCTGTGCCGAGAGCGACAATTGTGAGCGTGTACGTGCCGGACGGAAGGTCGAAAAGCAATTTTTTTTTAAATATCATCATTTCGTGTTTTCTCACCTAATGGTGTATTTTCTTATTAAGTACATGTTATATTTTACAGAAAAATTATTAAACAGTGAATTTTTAGAAATTTTAGTTTTTATTAAGACAAAGTCATAAAACACGATCGTGCTTGTCAGGATGGAAATGATTAGATTAGTTTTATTTTTAACTACGTTACTTTTGATTATAGTTCTCTACCGACCCTTAGGGTATACGAGAAGGACACTATAACCTGTGCGCGCACAAGATCCTTATAAGTTCAGGTTCTGACCCCAGATCAGCCTGTACAGGGTTGTCACAGACCTGTGTCACATGACTTCATCCGGTTCTTCGAGAAGCTAGTGCCTCGGGTGAGCTGCCCCGGGTGCACGTATAATACCCTTCCTATTTTCCAGATAGGTAACGGAGCCATAGGCACCCTCACTTCCCGTTACGCATTGCACAACTAGCGGTTGCCACCGCTAAGCCGTCGACTCTGAGTCCACTTCCAAATCTCCTAATTGGTGGCGGAGCTGTAAGGCACGCTCTCTTCCCGATGACAAAAAACGACGTCTCCAGTTCACGATAACCTAAGCGGCTGGAGGAACCGGAGGATATCTAGCTTATCCTCTACTAGCTAACCACAAACCCCAGCGAGTCCATACCTAAGTCCGGGTCCACCAGCGACGCCAACGCAAAGGCATATCACTGGCGGAGGAACCAGCCCAGACCAGTCGTTTTTCAGAGGATTCCGAATTCTCCACAGTCACTTCTATCATCCAGTCTTGGTCGATCTTCTAACAGTACCCGTTCAAGTACTCGTGGTGCTCACCAAAGTCGTGGTCGATCATCATCTATTTGAAGCCATACTTCTGTTCGGGAACGGTCACGATCAGAAAGGCGAAGTGGTTCGGCTGACGCACTGTCGCTACATAGATCAAAGAAGTGGAGGCAAATGTCATATGATGATAGGGAACAATTATTGTGGTAGTAGGTACCCATTTCGCCCTCCGACTGGAACTTGCCGCGCACTCTTTGATTATTTTCTTGAGTATTTTGACGAGTATTTTGAATACATGAAAAAGGTCTCAATTAGTTAGTATTTTGCGTTGATTAATAATAAGTTCATATTTTGTTATATTTCATGTGAAACATGTGATAAACTTCAAGATTCACTAATGTAGTTGATTTTGTTGCTTTATAAATCGCCTTTTATTCAAAATTTTTATTAAGTCATAATATAAGCCATGATAGCATCTATGATGGAAACGCAATTAACAGAAATTAGAAA